AGCATTGCCTTCCAAGGAAGGAGGGGATCATCTGTCCAAAATCCTTCAAGGACCTTCTGAACCTTTTCAAGACTTCGTAGACCGTCTCAGTCAGGTAGCAGAAAGAATATTTGGGGGCATTGGGCCTGCGATGCCAGTCATAAAGCAGATGGCATTTGAAAATGCAAATAAATATTGTAAGGAAGCCCTTCGCCCCTATCGCAATAAAAGTCTAAATGACTATATCCGGATCTGTAGGGACATTGATGGGAACTTCATCCAGGGCCAAGTGTTAGCTGCTGCTATTCGGCCCCAAGTGGGGAAAGAAAGACCTACTCTGGGAGGGAGAAAAACATGTTTTAGCTGCGGTAGGGAGGGACACTTCCATAGAGAGTGCCCTCAAAATAGTACTACGGGTCTCAAGAGACCTGGTTTATGCCCCCGTTGTTGAAGGGGATATCATTGGGCCAATAACTGCTACTCTAAAACTGACAGGGAGGGAAATTTCCTTTCTGCTAATAATAATCAGGGAAACGGGAGGAGGGCCCCGCCCCAGGGACCCAAAACCAATGTGTACGGGGCAATGACCCCTGCTCTGGGCAGTGGCAGGACTCATTTTCTCCCCAGAGCAACCCCTTCATATCTCAGACCTCCTTAGAGCCACCTCGGGAGTGCAGGATTGGACCTCGCTCCCTCTGCCCGGGCAATCCTAACACCGGAAATGGGGATCCAGGCCCTCCCTACTGGGGTGCATGGGCCATTGCCCCCAGGCACGGTCAGACTACTCTTGGGACAGTCCAGTACTATTCTTCGAGGCCAGGCTGGACTGACAGCCTCAAACAATACAGAGAAACCCTGACTCAAAAAAAAATTTTTTTTGTAACAGTAAAGAGGTACTGGTATTAAGTAAAGAAAAAGACAAAGGTATATGGAATGAAAAATTTTGTTTACATTTAAGTTCTATTTTGTGAGTCATCTCTAAAAATTTTTGGCCAAAAGCCTGGCCTCTCCACCTTGCATCTACAGAATTACAAGGAGTAGGTACGGCTATACCCCATGACTGTAGCTCAAATGGAGGAATGATAAAGAACATACAGGACTTTTTAACCCTTGTAGTTCAAGGATTGGCTGGAGTTGTTCTTTTACATAGATTTCAATTAAGGAAGCTTCATTGCAACAGACTAATCATGACCTAGGGAAAAAGGATGACTGAAAGATGCATGTATGTTCTGAATGTATGGTGTGGCCACACCGGTATGTATGAAATGTGATTGTGAATGCGTGAGTGTAAACTGCTTATATGATTAAAAGGATACTTAAATCCCTTCAAAAATAGTTAAGAAGCTACCTAGATTGCTTTAAATATAGCCAAAAGGAACATCCAGCCAGTCTGTTAATGTTTTAACAGAAAAATTTAAGATGCAAACGAGGCCTTGTCAGCTAGTGAGAGCTCTACAGGTTAGATTGGGAAAGACTGCTCACAGACTTCAAATAATTTTAAAAACTTATTTGGACACAGTATAGTTTACAATCTTTGAGTGATTTTCAGAAGTTTTTGGGAAATATTTAATGGATATGTCCTTTTTAATGGGCATCTACAAATAATCTAAGTAGTAATCCCAATTTACCTAGATAGTCAACCAAGGAGGGTAGACAAATCCTTTTACTGTTATGGTCCAGCTTCAACAGTTCAAAAAAAACCTTTTTTTTTAGAAAATAAAAAAAGGGGAAATAATGTCCCCAGTCCCCACATGACTCATCAAATAATACACTCCTCATTTAAAAATTTTATAATGTGAATGCCAGTGAGCTTCAGACAGATTCTGGCATGATGGAACTTGAGCAACCATTGCTCAGGTCAAATGGAGACATCCATACACTAGACAGTGGAGAAGACCCTAATTTGGGGTCGAGGGCATGTTTGTGTTTTCTTGCAGGAAAAGAATAAAGCTTCGGCAACTGTCAGACCATTTAGTGAGATGCATGGAGCATAGAAAAACTGGACCTGAGACCATGGGAGCCTACCTAAGCCAGTTTGAGTGAGATCTCCTAAATCAATGTTCCTGACCATTGATGTCATCGAATCTACAGCCCAAGAAAGAAAGAAAACAGTTGGTTCGAGATTTCCAGTTTCTCAACAGACCTGCTGCATCAACCTTCCGGACCCATGAGTTTTCATCATGAAGCTAACAGAGAAAAAAGGACCCATTTAAAGCATTTGGACATTGGTATGGACTATGATGAGTGGCAAAAGCCTCTTTTCAGTATTTGAACAGGACATGGTCACTTGATGGTTCCTGTTTCTGGAATCATGACTAGGCCAGTGTATTTTTCTGGAGAAATGCAACTTGTCCTAATGCGACAACTATTGTTCATATTTTTCGTAATGCTACATGTGTAACATCAATGATTGTACCTAATGTATCTGTGCCAGTGCACTTTCTAAATGCTTTCCTGAGCAGATCTTAAAACGATTGGAAACTTTATCAAATTGTAAATGTAAATCACATGCGGGTTACCCTTGTAACAGACGAAGGCTGGTAGAATGTTATGGCCCAGATCTGGTGATGGGTATGGTAATGGAGAGGCGCTATGTCAATGGGGGTCCTGGAAATGGTGGCAGTGGCGGTAGGCATTCTGGCTTTATGCCGAGCTCAAACGTGCCTTGTTCCAGAGACAAGAGATCCATAACCAAGTATTGCTTAGCTTAGCCCATGGCAATTCCCATAGCCATGAAGGTTGGTTACAGATGATTTAAGGTTGGGGTATCTCCGATGATGGGCAACCTGTGGGGAAGACCCCTCCCACCTAAAACAGGGGTTCAAGGTCCCCCAAAGATGGGAAAGGGAGGGTGACCCTACTTGACCTAAGCCAGGAGTGCCTCATTTGAAAATAAAAAGGGGTGAATTGTGGGAACACCAGACCTTGAGCAGAGACCCACTTCCCCTTCTGCCTGGGAGTAGGCAGCTGTAAGACAATGTTTAGTAAAAACATGTTTACTAAAAACGATACAATAAGTTCCTGGTCACTTCCCCTTCTGCCTGGGAGTAGGCAGCTGTAAGACAATGTTTAGTAAAAACATGTTTACTAAAAATGATACAATAAGTTCCTGGGAAAGGCCTTCCCACGGAAACCGCCCTGACCTCGACCTTGTCCAGAGACTAAACGCACCTTCAAAAACCCACACACATCCACCTCTGGTGTCAGAGCAGAACCAGCCAGGGTAGAGGAGAGAGCAGAAGCTTCTCTGGTGGGAGCCTTTCTTAGGAAGTTTTTCTTGAACCTTTTTGGAGCCTGTTTAAAGTTTTCTTTATATCATTGAATGAGTCTCTGTGTTGTCAATACCCGACACCCTCCGCACGTTCTCGGACACAGGCCACGCAGCAGACGTGACAAGTCTGAGCTGCATAAATCTTTGACTAAGTCTCCAACCTTGTTCCATTTATTTTTCATTGTTGCCTCTAATTGACAACATCCAAATGATTTGCAGTCCAGACATCCTCCTGTTCCTACTTTAACTCTCTGCCAGTAGATGTCTTTTTTCATGTTTTATGACAAGCAAGGAATGGAACTCTTCATTGTCTACCTATATTTTCTCTTTGTTTTACATTCTACTTCTTGAATCCTATAGTCGACTATTAAGTTGCCCCAGAAACTGTATTCTTTTGTATGGATGAAGATGAAAATATATTAAAATGTATTAATTACTCACAGTCACATGAAAAGAATGAAGTTGAACTGGTATTTCACAACATAAACTAACGTTTTTTTGAATGAGTCAAAGACTAAATGATTGACATCTGATGCAATATGAACAGTTGAAATGTGGCCTGATTTGAGGAACTGATGGATTATATAAAAGGAAGTGAATTTAAGAGTAAGATAATAGGTTTTACTTTGAATGTGATGGGATTATAATGGCATATATAATTTGACTTCCACGTGTTACTTTTGATATATATATATATGTGTGTGTGTGTATATATATATGTGTGTGTGTGTATGTGTGTGTGTATGTTTGTGTGTTTATATATGTATATGTATATATACATGTATATATATATATATATATATATATTTGCAAAACTAGGACAATAGATTTCTTGGAATATATTAAAGGTAAAATTCCATGGCCTTTGATTACTTAATGATTAAATAAATACATTTTTAATCTTAACTGTATGTATGCTATTGCCTAAGTTTCCAATCTTGACCCACTCATTTTTTCATCTTTTCTAGTAGTTATTGTGATTATGCCTTAAGACATGAAACAAAACAACACAAAACCTCACAAGTAACAGAAGTAAAACTGTATCAATGAATTTTTTGTGTGTGAAGCAATGGACACTCCCAGGGATATTTTAAATAACTCACAAATGGTATAAAACATTTGACATTTGCATATCAGCCAGTAGGAGTCTGGTATTTAGAAAGTAAAAAGTACTATTCCAAGTCAATGAAATAAAAACAACATTATAAAAAGGAAAAGGAATCAACAGACATTCTTTAAAGAAATCACATAAATGGCAAATAATGAGCAGATTAGAAAAACAATACTCAGCATCATTGGTCATCGACTACAAATGATAAAATTCTCAATGGAAACTTCATAAGCACCAACTATGTTGGTTTTAGTTTGTGAAATGGAAAATAAGTGTTGCTGTCTTAAACTTCCCACTTAGAAGTCTCTTCCTTACATGCTGGATAATTGCTGGTTTGTGCTTTTCTTTTTTAATTTTTTTTCATGAATGAAAGACAGGTTTTTCTACTTTGAGATAAGACAATTCTGTTACTATTGGGTCGAAGTTTTAAATTTAAATAGTTTGTTTTGTGGTAATTTTATTTTTATTGGGTTAAATAATATTGATTGGTTGATTTTAATGGTAACTGTATATAGTATACTGGAAACATAGTGCTTTTAACAGAATCTTGGATGGCAGTAAGGAAATCCGGAATAAAATACCTTCATTAGTGCAGTTTACTCATTGGGTGCAATTTTACAAAATTATCAAGTGCAACTATCAAAGACAGAAGGGAATTTTCTTCTTACAAAGTAATCTGGCCAGGGCTCCCGTCATGTCCCTGTTCCTCAGGCTGTAGATGAAGGGGTTCAGCATGGGAGTCACCACTGTGTACATCATGGCCATTACAGTCTCCTTTACAGTGGAATTATTAGCTGATGGACATAAGTAGAGACCAATAATTGTCCCATAGAACAGTGACACCACAGACAGATGTGATCCGCAAGTGGAAAAAACCTTGCAGATGCCTTGAACAGAAGAAACTTTAAGAATGGAGGAGACAATTTGTGCATAAGACACAATGATGAGAAGGAATGGAATGAAAATAACAAGTCCTCCCATGATAAATATCATCAATTCATTAACATGGGTGTCAGAGCAGGACAGCTTCAGCAGAGGAGATATGTCACAGAAAAAATGGGGGATCACATTGTCCTCACAGAATGACAACCTGGCCATGAGCAGGGTGTGCAGCATGGCATGGAATGTGGTCAGCACCCAGCACAGCACCATCAGACTCACACAGAGCATAGGACTCATGATGCTGGTGTAATGGAGGGGGAAGCAGATGGCCACATAGCGGTCATAGGCCATGGCCACAAGAAGGAAACTCTCAAGGTCTGCAAAATATAGGTAAAAATACAGTTGTGCCAGGCAGCCTGCATAGGGGATGGATGGGATTTGGCTCTGCATGTTCTGCAGCAATTTGGGCATTGTGACAGAGGAAAAGCAGAGGTCAGAGAAGGACAAGTTGCTGAGAAACAAGTACATGGGTGTGTGGAGATGGGAGTCTAGTAGAATGAGGATGATGATGATGAGGTTCCCCAGGACAGTGGTGAGGTACATGGCTAGGAACAGGGCATAGAACAGGTGCTGGTGCTCTAGGGGGATGGGCAGGCCCAGGAGGAGGAATTGAGAGATGACAGTTTGGTTCCCTTCTGTCATTTTCTTCCTCCTGGACCTTTAAAGGAGGAAGACATAGATCCTTAGAAATATAAATAAACATAAACAGAATTATGGACTGTTTTTGATTATTTTAAAACAATTCGTGTAATAACCATAATAATAATATTATAATATCTTTAATCACTGATGATATTTTTCAAAAGCCTCCTTGTGTGTTTCAGTATTCTATCATTTCCTAAATATATTGGTATTAGCTTCAACGACACAAAGCATGTTAGGTTCTTCTCTTACATGTATGAATGTCCATCATAGGCAACTGTTATTGGCTCTGTTCTCTTAGTATCTCTTACTCATTGGTGGTCCTTAGGATTCTGAAACTTTATATTTAATAATTCAATGTTTATATGTATGTATAAATGCATATATGCATGCATGTATGTACACATGTATTTGTCTATGCAAGTAACTTTAATTGACATCTGAAATTCAGCTGTGAAGTTTGTGTCACATTTATGATGATACCCTGCTGCTTAGTAGTTGCAGTTTCTTGGATATGTCATACATATATCAACAAGGGCAGCAGATACAAATGAACCCCATGATCCCACTTTGCTCTTTCCCAACTTGCCCCTGTTCTGTTCTCAGTTCTGTAAAGGGGGTACTGTGGACTCAGTTCAATAAAGGTGGCACTGGAGAACTGATATATCCAGTGCCCACAACGTCTGATCAGATAAGAAATGTGACAATTTTATTTCTCTTCCCAGCATTGTCAATCTAGCAAATCCTGTAGCTCCTCTTCATCCTTCTGCTTCATCCATTCATTGATTCAACACAGTACTCCAAGACCAGGCTTGCAAAAAGATGTTGCCTAGAATGTGTTTACAAAATTACCAATGTTTTAATCATTGGACCTTGTATATGATGAACCTCAGGCAATCAGCTAAAGGACTCAACATCCTTAACATTTCCCTTGTTCAAGCCAACTTTCAATAATATCTAAAGCTCTCATCATGTTCACAAATGATGCCTCATTACCTGAGCTATGACACACCTTCTCACATTTTCTTGCTTCCAGCAGTTTACACTTGCTGTTTTACTTGCCTATAATTTCCTCCTCTCTTTAGCCCCTTCACCTATGTTATCCCCCATTTATATTTACTAGCTATTATATTCCACTTGCTAATAAAAAAACTGTCCACACCAGATTTAGATCTGTTACCATGTTCTCACAGCATTCTTTGTTCCTATCGCATTGCTCAACGATCCTGAGCACTGATTCACTTCGGCTGCCCCCAACCAGATTGTGCACTACATGCGGGAGAGCCAGCCTGTGGCATAGTATTTCTGTGTGTGACCAGTGTTCAAAAAGTTTTGTTGATTGTGTTTCAGTCTGAGGCAGGCACTTTAAATGTTAAAAACTACAGATCCCTACTGAATTAGAGCCAATATCCACACTAAATCTTGTGGTGATATATTATTTTTAGACTCAGTATTCTGTAGGCAAAGACAGGCAGAACTTTCTGAGTTTGAGAGCTGTCTGATCAACATAGAGTCCCAGGTCAGCCAGAGAAACACAATGAAACCCTGTCTCAAAACATACTTCCCACATTAATACTCACTAGACTCCATCTTTTACTATTAATTTTGCCAATAGGCAACGAGACTATGTTTTTGTATTTATAAAAATTATAGGGATAGATATGATGTGCTACTCTGTTAAGTAATGGTGATGACTCAAAATTCAATTCTTATGTTTTATCTACAAGAATTCATGTCATGACTAACTTATTTGTGAGTTTGATTAGATTCTGGCACAGATTTTAGTGAAATTCAAATTCTAATGTTGGTAAGAATGCAGGTTTTCAGTGTCATTAGCGTTTATAACTGCAGACTCAAAGTAGAGGAAATTGCCCGCTTCGATGTGATTAGCCTAGTGCAGTTAGCTGAAAATAAAAGAATAAGTGTAGCCTCCTGAGTAAGAACTATACCTCCAGACTGCCTGTGTTCAAGTGTGCAACCTTTTCCCAGCCTAGGGTTTCGCTGCTGATTGGTCTTGAAGACAGACATTAATCATTTCTCAGTATCCTGAGGGCTTAAAACAACATATCCAGACTAAGAAACACACACACACACACACACACACACACACACACACACACACTTTCTTCTTGACTACACCAACAATCTCCGTGTCTTAAAGATAACACAGAGGGCAGATAAAGATCATTAGGGAACTGTAGAAGCCATTTCTTTAAGTAGTGTCACTTAGCCCACTGCTGAGGTCTTCACCCTGCAGACTGTGTTTAATGAAGATGTCCTCAATGATTGTATGTGTGAACATTGCATGGTGACACATAAAGAGAAGAAACATGTAGAGAAAAAACCATGCTTCATTATATAAGATTTCATGTCATGATTAACTTATGTTAGACTAGGTTCTGATACTGATTTTTGGTAAAATACTAATTCTAATGGTGCTATGAAAGTAGGTTTCAATGCCATTTAGAACAGAAGACCTGTGGTAAAGTAAATGTAGTTCCTCAAAATTCTACTTCCCTTTTAAATGAGGGTGACCCATCTAGAACAGGAATACATGTGGAGATCAGAAATCAGTGCCCTCACCTGTGGGTGCTGTCTTCAGTGATCCAGAGAGTTTCATATCTTTTTCAGCCATTAAATCAGTAATTCTCAACCAGGACAACACATAGGAATCCATTAGGAGATAGTATGATTCATATTAAATACAAATTACCTAGAATTCTATGAAAATGTAGAATGTGGTTCTGTATCTGGGATTCTACATTATAAATTAACCATCAGGTGATGATATCTGGGTGCTGGAGGAGGCAGCACTTACATTATCATGAAAAATACACATCGGTGAGTCCTATAAACTAAATTTCAATGATTTTTGATGGGAGGCTACCATAAGGTTGATTAATGCTCCACAGCAAAAATAAAAAAATATCTTTATAACTACAGGGCTGTTATGTTGATAGGGTATGATCTTAAGAGAATAATTGCATAGCTATTAATAAAAGGAACCACATTGTGAATAAAACATTACAAATGGCAAGCATTAATTCAAATACATCCAAGTTGTGGCAAAGTATCCGAAGATGAGGGATGAAAAATAAGGATATTATTATTTCTGAAAGATCCTCTTACAGAATATCAAATGCTGCAGGCTATTGAAACTCTTGTTTTAAAAAGACAGAAAAACATCAGCCCATTCACCCACCGGTCAACTCATCCAGAATATCTGAAGGTGATGCACTGTCCCTGATAAAATATCATTCTTCTCCTTGTTCACTATGCTCACAGGAAATAATTGTCTGTAGCCAATGCCTATATCTGCATCACCCCCTTTCCTGTCTCTCCTTCTATTTATCTCTGGGCTCTGTATCCCAAAGGACTCGATTAGAGTAATTATCCAAGACCTTTCTAGGACCAGTTCTTTCAGAGTCCTGTAGTTGTGACTGATTACAGTTATGATACTCGGGGGAAGGTGAAGAAGAGAACTCATAGGTAGATGTTTATTCATAACTTGTCCAAGGGGTAAGCTGCGCACCCATGTTTTTGGAGTCTGTATTTTGAAAAATAATTAGGAACTAATCTTAATAACTTATAAGATCATGAGAATATGAAAATGTACAGAAGAAGCCATTGGTTGCAATTATAGGAATATCACTGTGAAAATCATGTACTTTGGGAGTTTTCCCAATTGACATTCTTTAGTAAAATGTAAGGCTATATAAACAGCCCTCAAGATATATACATATTATGCTAAGAAGAACCAGAATTTATGACTCAACTTTCTATTCCTATCAATATATGTTAATGATAGGAATAAGAAAAATGTTTGATAAATTCCTTAAGATCATGTTTATCTTTCTTCAGGCCGACATACAAGAAAAAATATAGATTTCCATTTCTAATCAGTTGTTTTTGGTTCTTCACCTCTCTGAGAAAACTTTAATTGTATCTACCACCATTACCCCAACCTCTTTCTGTATCTGTATCATTACATCCTAGTGCCATATTCTATATCATGGCAATTGTGTCTGAAGGCATTGCTGACCATTGTAATCCCTGCCCTTTCTGTTTGTCCCCTGTGTATAACAATCCCTCTTCAACAATAGCTAAGTCTATAGGGACAGGAGATAAAAAATAATTTTAGCATATCTGAAAATGTGTGCCACATGACATCATAAACCAATATACTCAGGCTGTAGGAAACAGCTCATCCTTACCCAGAGTACACAGGAAGATGCCATAATAAAAGATGCCACTCTCCTTTATTCACTGTAGACAAAGGTTATAACAAGTTCCATAGTCATCCAATAAGTCTGCACTTCGGCTTCTCTCATATCCCCTTCCAGTTGTCCTGAGTCTAAGAGGCTCTGCATCACCGAGGAGTCCAGTAACTCATTAAAGACAGTAATTAGTCAGAACCTCAGTAGTATCAGCTTCCCCAGGGTCCTACAGTGGTGACTGATTTTCACCACCAATTACACATTACTACACTTAAGGGATTGTGGACTTGGAGAGAAAATCATGATTGGGTGCTTATTAGTTTATTTGTTCATGTGGGGTATTCTTTGTGGACTGAGGATGGAGGCATGAGGAAAGAGTTTGCAAAAAGCCCTAGAAATAATCAGAGACCACTGATTGATAGAATGTGCATTAGATATCAAAATTTTCTAAAGAAGCCACAGTGGCTTTTAAACACACACAATTAAGAAATGTTCCCAGGTAGCAAGCAGTCTGTCAGTGTATCTTGGCCTCCTGAAAAAAATGCTATATGAAGAATAGTCATATTTCTATGGTGGGTCAGACTTCTGTAACCAACTTCCTCTGTCTGCCAATATATTAAAGTCAGGAATTAGACAAAAGCTGAACTGGCCCAGACTATGTTTAATTCTAACTCTAATTAATATATAAAAGAAAGATCCAGATTCCCACCCCATTTGGTTACTCACTTTTCATCCTTTCTGCTTTAGGAAAATGTTGAAAACACTGCATCACCATCCTCCCAA